AGAATTGTTGAAAGAAAACAACTTCTTGCCCAGGACAATAACAAATCATCACCAATATTTTTCAATCTCTGGTAGGCAGAAGAAACTAATTTTAATCAGTGCTGCCGACGCTCCAGCTAGATGGCAGCCTCCAGCTGACATTGGGGCATCTCAACAACTGAAGCCGGGTCAAGATCACTTAGTACTTGAATGGGATTCCTCCTTTCTCATTCCTGGCTTGGGAAGTTGAAAAAACATGCTGAAAGAAGGCAACAGCAAACCACTTTTGTATTGTTGCCAAGAAAACTGAGCCACCAAGAATTAAGTTCAACTCAGGAGATGATATCTTTAGGACTTCATTAACATTTTTCTATCATACATTAACCCATAGTTAGTTGAACCACAGTTTACTAAATTAGCTCAATTGTCTGGGTTCATGTAACAGTCTGAGTTACAAGCTATACAACCTCATGTTGTGCACTATCTTAAAATGCAGGTTAGAGGAGGCTGTAGCTAGACTGCAATGAATGTGTGTGTGTGTGTACACACACAGATATACACATCCTTTAGAAAGGCTGCACCTAGGTTCAGTTTCATTTTTCCCCCGTTACCGAGAGCAGGGGCTCTCCTTTTTTCTTTGTTCTGATGCTTGATAACTGAGGCGGTATGGTGTGAACTCCTCAGAGATTGGGCTCTCTTAATGTATTATTATAACAATTAAAATAAGAGAACTATTGAGAAGCTGGTTGGGTCTGAAATGTGTTGGTTGGAGAGGCTGGGGGAGATTGCAAGCAGAACAGATTGTGGCGGCTTATGGGGAGTGCGGGTGGGCAGAATGTCAAAAGAAGTGATGTGGCATCACAACATAAGCCGCATCCCTTTTGTATGTGCATCATGATGTTGCATATATGCATGAAATGGGTGGAGTTTGTGATGCAAAGCTGACAAAAGCAGCCAGCATGTGCAGATGTCCATCAAGGAGGACTCCATAAATATGCTTTGTACTGCTCTAAGATCAATTCTGGGTCTCAATGTCCTTGACTGGTTTGAAGAATTGTTCAAGTGTTTTTCTGGCTTGACTGGCCTTTCCCCACTTGTCCCTAACTTGTTAAGCTTCTGGTAGCTGTCTCAAACTGAAAGTAACTCTTCCAAGCAAGATTCTTATAGAGCGTTTGTTAGTAAGATTTACTGAGCAGAAAGCAACAGGGTTACAGGAATCTCAGCAACTGAATCATTACTCACACAGAACTAATTTATTCCCTGAAATATCTTAGGGCAGAAACGTACTGTACTCCTTTTCTTCTTAATGACTTCTCTGGAACAGGGGAGGAGGCACACCTCTCTGCAGATAATGGGAAACCTTGCAGCGGTGTGTTTACTTTACAATCTGATTCTTCATCAGCCTATGAACTAATTATTAAATGACCAGACTACATGCAAGCCCTAGCAGCATCTTTTTCCTGCTGAAGTTGCCAAGGCTTGTATGTAGTATGGTTATTCAGCTATGATCTTTATCTCGTTGGTAATTCTTGACTGAAATAGGCTTAAGTTGTCTCTAGCTGTCCTGATTTTTAAGTAGTGTTTTCCCTCTCAAGCTAACAGCATCTTACCACAGTCATAAGTGGTAAATCTATTATGCTTCTCCACATCCTTTAGGGAACTCAGATGATGCTTACTGGCCACTTCTGAGTGATGTGGACATACTTCCCACTCTGGTCTTTTTTTCAGTCTTGTCTGCCTTCATTCTGTAGTTGTCTCCTCCAAGTGCGAGATACACCAGCACTGTGCTGATGTCATGTCAGAACTGTGCAGTAGTGCTAGGCAGTTCAGCCAGCTGTACTGTAAGTGCTTTAACTCTACAAGCCCTTAATGGTTTCCTTCATGGGTTCTCGAAGCATGGTCTGGGGACCCTTGGGGCTCTCTGAGACCCTTTCAGGAGGTCTGCAAAGTCAAATGAATAAATATTTAAAATTTCTTACTTTCAATTTCTAATACAGTAAAGATTGATAGATATAACCCACATAAACTAAAGCTCCTTGGGGTCCTCAATCATTTTTACAAATGTAAAGGGGCCCTGAAGTGTTTGAGAACTGGTTTAATGCAAGGCTGAAATAATGAAACAATGGAATGAAGGGACAAATCCCCCCACTGCCTCCCAAATAGAGTGTCAAAAATTCAGATGTTGTCACGTATTGCATATACAGCGTGTACCAAAAATTAGACCTCTTAGACAGTTTATTATATAAATTACATTAAATGTTCAAATTGGTTGCCAATTTTTTCTAAACACTTCTGTACTCGTTTGATGCATGACCTTTGAACATTCCTCAGTACAGTAAAACATATCAATAAAATTAATAAAACATATTGTGATTGGCCTACGGCGCCTGACATTTAGTACGCTCTGAATAAAGGAAAGGAAAGGACAAGGAGAGAAATCCTAAATAAAAATGCCAGCTCTTGTTCCTTTTTTGCCCACCTGTAGTGTTAAAGATTCATGTCTGAAAAGTTTTGGCTTGCTGTGAATGTAATTGATTGGTGCAATATCCTTGTTGTGATTAAAGTGTGGGTACATAAATTCTCAGAGGTAACTATCAACTATCAATCAATAACCCTAGCCCTAATCCTAACCTTAACTTTAACCTATGGGGGGTGGGGGAAAAAAGTGCAAGACAGCCAACATAAATTGATATAATCAACTAGTGCATGTAACTCACTGGCAGGCAAAGTCTTTTTGGTGAGCAAAAAAGAACAAAATCCTTGTGATTTAACTCTCTTCATTACAGTACTTTAAAAAAATCAGCAGAGTTTATGACAGATTGGGGCACAGGAAGCAACTGAGAGATGAAGGACTGAGTCTTGCAGCCAGAATCGCCCATTCCTGCTGCAGCTGATTGGCTGATGCTTCTCACACCAGTTGCTGATGTGCAGAAGAGTGATTTCTTTTATCTGATACTTTGTGATAGGAGCATAGATATTTGCTGACAGAACACAGCTAGGCAAAGCTCTTGATTATTTGCCGTCAGATCAGTGTTGACTCTTAGCAGCCCCATAGGTAGACTTCCTGGATGATCTGTCCCCAACTTGGCCCTTCAGATCGTCTAACAATACACCCATCATTACTGTAATTGACTTTGTTTCTTGTCTTTCCATTGTTCCCAGCATTATGGACTTCTCAGGGAGCAAAGCCTCTGCCTAAGTGTCCAAAATATGATAATTTGGGCCTGGTCATTTGTGCCTGGAGTGAGAATTCTGAATTGATTTTTTTCTATGAGCCATTTGTTTGTTTGCCTAGTTATCCATGGTATTTTCAGGAGTTTTCTCTAACATTAAATTTCAAAAGCGTCAATACTCTATTTTGCTTCTTCCAACTTTCACTTTCAGGGCGTGTGAGGAAACCACTGCCTGCATGATTCTGAACATTGTAGGTATACACACGTCGTGGCATCTTCATATTCTCTACTAAATCTGTACGGTCAGTTTTCATTTCCGCCTAGGGAGGAAGAAGGCCAAAATGTCCAAATCAGACATTCAGGAGACAGGCTCGTATCTCTCTATAGCCCCAGTAATTTAAAAGAAATCACGAGCGGTTCCAGAAACCAGTCAGAAAAGAGGCGGGGTTGGAAGCACTTGAGGGGGCGGGCACGGACCATGGAGGAGGTTCTATGTGAGTGACGTCACTGCTCTTCGAAGAGGATGGTTGACCGGCTTCCTCGAGAAGATTTGGGGGTTGGTTTCTTCTGCTGTTTCTCCTCCAGCTTCCCCCACCCCCCATTTCTGAAGCGCGCGGAAGCAGGGGTAGGAGGCGGGGTTTCATGCAAATGAGAGGATGTGATTGCGCGACGGCGCGACGGGGGCGTAACCGCTTGTCCTCCTCCCCACTCAGTTCACTTTCTTCACAGTCTCTGCTGAGCTGCGGAGGAGGCTGGAAGTGTCCGCATTGTTCTCTTTCTCCTTCCCCCGACAGGTGGGTTTCTGCTCTACGCCCCCGCTCGCCTTTTAAAGGGCTTGCCGTTATGGCGGATCCCTGGCTCTGCTGTCAGAAATGGCTCTTGTCTGGAGAGAGGGGAGCGACACGGCTTCCCCAGACAATTCTTATTTTTTCAGTCTCTGGGTTTGCCTTCTACTCGCTTAGCTGTCCTTAGAGTTTCTTTTCCACCGTCCCGTTTAACTTCGGCCCGAAATCCCGCGCTTCTTGCGTTATTAATTCGCCTCCTCCGGCTGAGCGCCCCGGGAGGAGGAGTTACAATACGAAGGGAAGTTAACAGCGTCTGAGAATCAGCCTGCTTTCTGCTTCTCTCGAGAGGTTTTGCTGCTTGCTTGGTCTATTGCGGTCCCTCTGCAACCAGATGCCGTAGCCTGCCCTCCACCCCCGCACGTTTTCCGTACTGGGTTGTATCTGATCTTCTTTAACAGGTCCCTCCCCGCGAAACAAAAAACCGTTCCTGATATTATGCTGTATGGCAGATCTAAAAGTCCTCTCTCATTCGTAACACTTTTGTTTTCCCACTGCTTCTCCCACCGTTTTATACTGCAAAGAATTCGTTTTATACGTGCGCAGTGGCTTTTCAGCGGTCGTGCTAGCAGCTAGAAAGATGTCTCTCTGAAAGCACTTTGTCTCATTTTGGCAGAACCAGCAGAGGTCCGTTACAAACACGTTGTTGTGTGTTATCTCCTACAGATGATGGACTGGCTAAAGTGTTGAAATTTAGATTCAGATTTTCTCCCAGCCCCAGTCTCGGATCAAGAAGGATTTTGAACCGATTGCAATCTTTCAGCCTAACCTGTATGCATTAAAAGAATATAATACCTGGGGGTGGGGAATATATTTGATTAGCATAAAGTAAAATCAGGCTATGAAATTAACAGCTATAACATAAAAGGGACTATACCTAAAAACTATAAGGACATTGCTCATAAAGCTAAAGCTGTAAATGTGCTATAAAAGTAGTCTCTGTATTGTGTCATCTAGAAAACTAAAAGAACAAGCTGTGGCAACAAAACCTGTAAAACTGAATAATTGGAGATTAATAATGTTATGTGTCTTCCCTGCCCCATCCTATATTAGGCTAATTTTTCCTGAACATATGTGTGCATACATGTGTGCACACACACACTTATTCAATAATAGACTATCCCTCTCTTGAAACTTCAGAGGCACAATATTTATTTGCTGCACTTACAATATATTCCCAGGCTCCTTTCACACATGTTGAATTTGTATTTGGATCCTAACATAGCAGTTAAGTCTTTTTTTTTCTTCCTCCATGATCTGCCTTTATCCAATAGTAGCACATTTCTGATAAGCTTTCAGATAATAAATGTAGCGATCCCCAGGCCCAGAGATTTAGTATTTATAAAGACATTTACACCTCAGACTCTAGTTTCATTTACAAGTGTTCTAGCTGAATCATCCCCCACAAAAGGAAAAACCATTAAATAAACCTCTTGAAAGTACATTATTAGTTTTAAAAAATCTGAAATATAGAAAAGCCTCCCAAACAGAAAATGTCTTCAGTTTCTTTAGGAGTGAATTGGAGAGAAGGTAAATGGATTTCCTAGGTCAGACTTCCACATTTCTGCTAATGGTGACAAGTACTTATTATTTTGCAAAAAAAAAAAAAAAAAGGTCTTGGTTTCCCTTGCAAATGGTGAAAATGGGTGAGGATAATCCCCAGTTGCAGAGACCTTTATGTATGAAGGAGAATAATTCCTGTCCTCACTCTTGTAGCCTCACATTTAAAGAGGAAAGCTGAGTTTGGCTGTCCTGCAGAAGGTAGCCATGACAGAATCTTGGTCTCCTTCCCAGCTTCAGAACTGGAACAGAAGAATGGCATTTTGATTGACATCACATGGACATTCAGACCTAGTTCACATAGCATGCTAAACTACAAAAGAGTTCATTTGATTTGGTCTGAGTGTGTTGAAATTCAACCAGCTGGGGCTCATTCAGTAAACAATAAATAAAACTTAGCACAATATGTAAATGCAGCTGCAGTGTGAGTTCAGTGGTTATGACTATCATTCTGTGTACATATATCTGAAAGTTTCCCTGAATATAATTTGACTTAGGAGTTTTGAGTAAATAAACAATTTACTAACACAGATTACTAGAGAATCACATTCTGCAAAAGAGATAAAGAAAACTCTTAGTTCTTTGCTATCATCCAAAGCCAACTGATGTTTGCAGCCTTAGAATTTATGGGAATCGAAGGAGTCCTGATGACAAAAAATTGGCTATTATTGATTACAAAGTTGATTACAAGTTATTGATTATAGCCTCCAGCAGTTAGCGGACTCTGACAACAGAAATGTATTTTCTCTTTTATCCCATTAACAGTTAAAGCTCTTCCCTTGTCTAGCCTTCCTTACACAAACATTAATCCTGAATGTTGAACTATTATGTAAATGTCTTGTCCTGCTTTCTCTTTTTTCCTCAGTCAGAATATTATTCCTCTCCCAGAGATAACATTGTTTGAAAGATTTCTTTCCTGCCATCCAAAAATAAAATATCCTCTCTGTGGAAAAATGCGTTCATTTGTTTAACTTATAATTGGTGAAGGAAATACATTTTCTAACCCAGTTACTCATACAGTCTTCTACTCACTCATGCAAGTTTAATCTGTAAATATATCCCACAAAACTAAGAGTGGCTCATTGCTGAGTTGACTTAAGTGGAGTCCGCTGTAATGTCTCTCCTGCCTTTCTTCCTTCACTTTTTCTATAACTCTTTTGTTTTAAAAGAAATCCAAATATTTTCTTTTGCTAACTGTGAAGAAAAGTTTGAAAGCATATAAAGAAGTTCTCGCTAGGTACAGTAATCTGTATTTGTTTACAGCATTTTATCAAACCAAATAACTGTTGAAAGTTATGCTGTTATGGAAAATGTGTGGTAAACACTCAGAAACCACAAAGGGCCAGAGCAAAGTTCGGTGGTCAGGGACAGAAACTTTAATTGCTTGCACACCTTGGTTCTCTTTCCCGATTTCCAAGACCACTCACTCTGATCCCACTAGGTAAAGAAAAAAAATGAAGCAGGTGTATGAGATAGGAAAGCGGGGGGAAACACCATAGAAGCTATCAGCTCAGATGATTAGAGGACAAAATAAGGGGTTGTGTAAAAGGAGGAGAATGCATCTAGTTAAAACAGAAGTTAGAGCCAAACAAGTCTGAATCTTTTTATTGTAGAAAGAAGTGCAGCCTCATCTTTTGTAGGCAGTACAGTGTCTTCTTCCTCTTATATTGGATTTCAGTATTAGATTCTTAAGTTCAACTTCTTGTAAACAAGTACTTATAAATGCAGAGGTGCAGACAGAAATGAGTGTTTCATGTTAATGTCCATATGTCATCACTGCTTTGTGAGCAGCATTGGTTGCCAGTTGGTTTCCAGGTAGAATTCAGGATGCCAGTTGTTACCTGTCTCCAGTAGTTTCTGCCCATCTGGTATAACTGGGCAAAGTGGGTATGCTCTGTGTTCCTTCTACTAAATATTGTCCTCTTGCAGGACCAAGGAGGTGTGCCTTCTCTGACATGGTGTCTGGCCTCTGGACAGCATCCTTCGCCTCCCAAGATACGTACAGCTCCCTCCCTTCAAATATTCCACAAATCTCTTAAGACCTGGCTCTGTGCCCAGGCCAGGGTTAGGGTGTCTGTGGAGCTTCTGGCAACTTTCTGGCTGCTATTAGTATGGTTTTGCCTGGGGGTTCAGGTTTTTTCTTTTTATATTCTATATTCTTTTATGTACATTAAATAAAACAGAGGGATTTCCCACTCCTCAGTTTGATTTAGAATCCAGCACACGACTATGAGCTGCTGTGAAAGGTTCAAAATATTTAAAACTTTGTTGGATTAGATCACGTTATGACTAGAAGTGACATCTGTTGCATTCTCCTCTGCCTTTGCGGTAATTGAGCTTTTCCTCTGTTTAATAAAAAAATCTGCCTTTCCTGTATGCTGTAGCAGATGTATCTCATTCTGTAATATTAATTAATTATTTTTTAACAATAGAAATGTCTTCTGGTTTTATGAAGCTTCAGAGTTATACTAAAGCAAGTAAAGACAAGCTTACATTAATTTTTTTCTTATAGTTGGTGCAGTATTATCTTGTATGATGTTTGGCTGAAGTAATTATTCAGGTACTCCTGTATTGCGCCTTTTATACCTGTATCTGTTGCAGAGTCTGCAGCAAAAGAGAGGCTCCCTTTTGACAGAGTGTATGATTTACTACTACATTTTAATCTCTAGGATGTCTTCAGTTTGTTTCCATCAGGCATTGCTCATATAGTCCTCAGCCAAGGGAATACTTTGTTTATTAAATAATATCAAAGGCAGTCAAGATGCTGAATGTTGAGCCCTGGACTAATACTTGCATCTGCCTAATTTGGGTAGGGAAGTTGGACTCCCTCCAGCTAAAGGGAGAACACTAAGAGATAGGTTTCTTGAAACAGAAATTATGGGTAATTGTGATGTGCATATCTGTAGGCAATATGGCAGAATCAGAATGGAAAGATTTGTATAAACTCTTGGGTCGAGCCTAACCCTATACTGTAAATTGATATTTTTTACTAATTTTCAGGCTGCATATTGTGAGTGAAACTGGTATGTTTGAAGAACAAGCCAAAGGTTATGTGTGACATCCTGAGAACAAGTAATCTAGTGCAGCTCTTTTTGAATATGATTGGATCTTCCAGTTGATTCAGAAACATAATCTGACCTCCAAGAAAGCTATCCATGCCTCCTTTACTTGACTCATTCATGGATCAAAAGCTGCACTGGTAACAGAAATACATGAGGAGGATTTAAATGAAGGCAGTACATTGTTTTATTGTCTAAAGAAGATCAATAGATGTGGGGTATTAGAATGATTACCTTCCTCTTAATTTTGGGGGGAAAAGTATGTCTACTAATAGAAGTGTTGAATATACTGTCCTAAAGCATCCATAATCTTCATATAGTATTAGATTTCCA